AAACAAAGGAAACAAGTGGGCCAGCCCCATGGCATGGTGGCTGAGGGAGCCAGATCCGACATGGCCGACCATACAGTTCCAGGAGTTGAGGAGTGTGTTGGGGGCGCGTACGTTTGTACCCCAAATCCTGGCAGGGTAGCAAGACAGAGGAGAAGGGACTGCAGTGTGGCCATGCCCCATTTGGGAGTGGGGTGGGTTTCTCCCCCTCTCTTTCTCTCACACAGTCACCCTCTGGCAACATTAATTTTTTTTTTTTTTGGAGAGTTTTTTTTTTTTTTTTTTTTTTTGGTTGCGGGGTGCGTGCGCTCACCAGAAAGACAGACAGAGACAGAGAGACAGAAAACAAGAAATCACCCCCCAGGGGCGACAGTCACGCCGCAATCCCTTCTCCTCCATTCTCCTCTCAGGATCTTGGGCACGTGAGTTTAAGCCACCGGGTCCGGGACTTGAACAGTGGTTGGCTGCATGGGAGTCCAGCGACATTAGCCATTATGCTAACTGCTGGTCCCAATTTTTTTTTTTCTTTTTAAAGACAGAACAAGCATTACTAATTTTTCCTGAACCTGGTCTGCAGCACGGCTCCAGGCAGCTCTGGCTCCCTTAGGACCCACCTGTGTACCCGGCAGCTCCTTCCCTGGGCCTGGTGAGTCAGGGGCGCTGGGCTTCTGACCACAGAGCTCTCCGCCTTCCAGGTATTACTTCCCTCATTCAAAGAAACAAAGAAAACAGCAGCCGTGATTAAGCCGTCTCAGGAAAGAAGACTAATGAAGGGAAAAAAATATGTAACCTGTTTGTATTCCGAGAGAATAGGATTGTCTCTAAGACAAAGAATTTCAGCTGCGTCCTCCATGTGACGCTCAACCACAAAGGGAGTAAAAGCTAGTCTCTTACATATTTCTCATTTTTAAATGCTCCTTCTTCTACTCGTCGCAACCATCGGGATCACTGAGAGCATCGTGCCCCCTCCTCCTCCTTGCCATAGAATTGTCTCGTCTAGACAGATGCACATGCTCCATATAAAACTGAGTATCTTACATACAGCCCCTCTCCAGATTCCCTTCCCTTTCAGTTATAGATTTCTTTCTTGCAGAAGGATGAAAAGAATTGTCTATTCGTGGGCGTTCGCATGCTTTGCGATTTAATAACCATTTGACAGTCCTCTTTTGTAGGCCTAAGACTTTAAAATAAAATCTATGAATGTGTTCGGTGAAAAGTAGGGTACCTCAGTATTACCATTGTGCTCATGTGTTAATCAGAGATTTAATTATTCAGTTCTTCTCTTCGAGCGTCACGACAGCATCATACACAATCTATTTTCTAGTCTGGTTGAAGCCTGTTTGATTCTCCTGATTGGAAATACGTGTCCATACAGAAAACCTCAGGGCTTAAAGGGGAACAAACGCCTAAAACAATTCCAGACCTGCTGTATATC